TCTCTGATAATATTTTCAATTTTTCTTCGCACTTTCAGAAAAAGTTGACTACGAGCACTATCTTGCCTATCTTTCCGATGCTTAATATTTGCGGAATGAGAATGACCTGCCATGGGGAGCAAATAAAAGAAAGATTAACGTTTGGAGAATTGAGTTTTTTTGCGAGCCTTTTTGAAACCAACTTTTTTTCTTTCTACTCGGCGAGCATCCCGCGTTAGTAGCGAAAAACTTTTCAGAGTTATTTTATATTCGGGGGAAATATTTAATAAAGCTCGTGCCACCCCTAACCTAATGGCTTTGGCTTGACTATGAAAACCGCTGCCTTTTACTCGGACAAAAAAATCAAAAGCATTTTCCTTGCTGAATAATTTAAGCGGTTGATAAATATCTTCACATAAAGAAGGTTCCATATAAAAATAATCTTTTAAATCTTTTTCTTTTCCGTCGTTGGTTCGGATTTGGGCTTGCCCCTTGCCTTCTTTTAAATAGACACGGGCAGTCGCTTCTTTGCGTCTTCCTATGCCAATATAATAATTGTTATTCATTAATTTATTTTTTTCTTTTTCTAATCAGGTAAGTCAATACTCCCACTAAAACCACCACTCCCGTTCCTAGTGCCAAACCAATTAACAACTGGTGGTTATTGTTATTTGGAGTGGAGTTATTGGAACTAGTTGCAGTAATGGTTAATTCATGACTAGTGAGTTCTTTTTTATTGTGTTCCTGACAATATTTTTTAATTGCTGAGTATTCTTGATTGTCAGTTATTGTCTCTACTGAATTAGTTTGCTGATTATTAAACTCAATGGTTAACTTACCATTTTCAAAAATAATCTTTTTAATATCTAATTTTTGGAAAATGATTTTTAAGTTGGCTAATTTGGAGTTAGTGGGTTTTTGGTTGTTAGTAGGTGGTTTAGAACCATTTGTTGGCACTATTGGTCCATGAGTAATTATTTCCCCCTCTTCATTGAAAACTCGGATTTCCGGAATTTTGTCGACTGAGTTATTTAAATCTAATTGCTTACCAATTAAAATTTTAGTATTTTCCAAATTATCTCCATTAAAATGATACTTTTTTCCCACCTGCAATTCAGTCGCATACTCATGCATTCCAGCACCAGTGGTTCCAAAATTAATTAGTAAATAATTAATGGTTGGAGAAAAGCCAGAAGTAGTTATTTTTCTTTCCTTAATTTTTAGAATAAGTTTGTTATCTCCTCCCTTATTATAATCCTCAATTATTTCTACTAATTCAAACGAATCAAGATAGATACCTCTCCACATGTCTACTCAATGATTGCCATCAATTATGAGAGTTTGTCCTGCTATCTCGGCTTTGGCTACTGGCTCACTGAAATAAATACCTATTTGACCGCTTGACCAAGCATCAGTTTGACTTTCATCCGGAGCAAATTGTTGGTATTTTTGATAGTTTTTCCCCGTGGACTTTTCATTATTATGTCTCACTCCATCATTTATTATTTCTATTCGGTTAATTTCTCCTTTTCTACCATTTCATTCCAAATAAAAAGGCAAAACATTAAAAGAAAAATTGTCATTATTGGCTACTATGTCTTGTTTTTTAGAACTAATATAAGTTGTAATGCGTGCTTCTGCCATAATAATATTATTTGGTTTTTCTTATAATTATATATTTATTTTAATAAAGTTTTTTTCTTGAGCGACCAAATTATGTTTTTCCTCAGCAAAAATAAATAATCTGCCTGCTTGTTTATCTCCTAATTTAGTGTGGGGAATCATACCTCTAATAATCCGAAAAGCTAACTCGGTGGGATATGATTCTAACATTAAGCGAGCACTTCTTGTGCGTAGTCCACCCGGATAGCCAGAATGGTTATAATAATTTTTTTTGTCTAATTTATTACCAGTAAAACTCATATGCTTAGCATTTACTAGCACGACATAATTCCCTAAGTCTGAATTAGGGGTAAAATCCCTTCGATTTTTACCACGCAGCAAGTCAACAATTTTCCCCGTGGCTTCTTTGCCCACTATTTTATTTTTTAAATCCAAAAAATACCAAGAACGAGTGATATTCAGCAGCGAAGGAATAGTAGTTCCTTGTAATTGTTCGTCTTCTTTTTCGCTAGCAACCTCCATACATTCTTATTCCTTCTTTCTCTCACCTAACAACTAACCAACCACTCCTCCCAC